CCAGCAGGTTCCTCTGTGCTTGACTTTCTACTGCACATTCCTTCTAAAGTCCGAACCCGCCGGCCAGTGTGGCTCAGTGGATAGTGTCGGCCTGTGAACTAAAAGGTCCCAGGTTCGATCCGGGTCTGGGCACATGCCTGGTTGTGGGCTCGATCCCCAGTGGGGGGCGTGCAGGAGGCAGCCAATCCATGATTCTCTCTCATCATGGATGTTTATCTCCCTCTTCCTTACTCTTGGAAACCAATAAAAATATTTAAAAATAAAATAAAGTCCAACCCCCACAACATCAGTGCCCAGCAGCACTGGTTCCCACCATCTTTACTTCTCACCACCTTGCTTCATAGCCTATTCCAGCCAACCACACGAATTTATATCAAAGGACTGACTTTTATATTGCCATAGCTAATCATGAGTTGCTGTATTTTTTTTTAAAAAAATTTTTTTATATTGATGAGAGAGAGAGAGAGAGAGAGGGAGAGGGAGAGAGAGAAACATCAATGATGAGAAGCACTGATGGGCTGCACCCTGCACGTCCCACACGTGCCCTGACAGGGAATCGAACTGTGACACTCGACCACTGAGCCACACCAGCCGGGGTCGAGTTGCCAAATTCTCGGTTCTTCCCATGTTCTCTCAGTTGATTCTCAGAACGACCCAGGTGAATACTATTACATCCCTATCCTGCAGAAGAGGAAACTTGAGGACAAAGGGGCTCCTACCGTCCACACTCACAGGTTAAGAGGTTGGAACCCAGATGGTCTCCCGTGGTCGGCAAACTGCAGCTCTCTGGCCCCTTGAGTGTGGCTCTTCCTAAGCCTTAGGAAGACCCTCATTAAGTTAATAACAATGTACCTACCTATAGAGTTTAAGTTTAAAAAATTTGGCTCTCAAAAGATATTTCAGTCGTTGCACTGTTGATATTTGGCTGTTGACGAATGAGTTTGCCGACCACTGGGCTAACCACTGGGCAAACCGCAGAGCCTCGGCCGTTAGTATCTGCTCCTTTTCGCCCAGTCGGAGGCCCTCCCCCACTCCCCTGGCTTCTCTAAAACTACTTCCTCCCCGAAACCCTCCGAGAGCCCCACTGCACTTTCTTTTTTAAAAAAATGTATTTTTATTGATTTGAGAGAGGAAGGCAGAGGGGGAGAGAGAGAGAGAGAGAAACATCCATGATGAGAGAGAATCACGGATCGGCTGCCTCCTGCACGCCCCCACACTGGGGATGGAGCCCGCAACCTGGGCATGTGCCCTGACTGGGAACCGAACCCTGACCTCCTGGTTCATAGGTTGACGATAACCACTGAGCCATGTGGCCGGGCCACACTTCCTTTTTATAGCGCTCGGCCACTCCTGCGTTGCATTGTGGCTTTTATTGGTACCTCCTGTCACCAATGGTCGGACCCCCTGTCCATCTCGGCAGCACCCCTTCTGTCTAGCTCAGGCCGAGTATTTCCGGGGTGGGATTTGCCAACGAGACAGTGCTCTCGCTTCGGCGTATCAGAAACTTCACTTGATGCCCTGGCTGGTGTGGCTCAGTGGATAGAGCATCAGCCTGCAGACTGAAGGATCCCAGATTCGATTCCCAGTTAGGGCACATGCCTGGGTTGTGAGCTTGATCCCCAGTGGGGGGCGTGCAGGAGGCAGCCGATCCATGATTCTCTCTCATCATTGATGTTTCTGTCTCTCTCCCTCCCCCTTTCTCTGAAATCAATAAAAATATACATTTAAAAAAACACACACACACACACACACACAAAAAGCCCTTCACTTGCAGGAGCGCACAGAGAGGAGGGAGGATGGTGAGGGCGATGGAACAGGGAAGGGAGCGTGACAGGCACCTCTCTCTTCGTTCGTGGTCCCCGCACCCCCCACTCCACCCCAATCTCCCCACCAGCTGCACGTCCACACGAACACACAGTCCGCTTTCTGCTAGCCCTGGGCATCAGGTGGCATTTCAAACCCATGACCAAACGCCTCTATCAAACGCACACACACAGAGGTAACCACAACATCGCGAAGCGTTAAGCGTTGGCAGGAACCCTCCAGGAAAACCTCATCTTGGATACGGAACCTGGGCCTGGAGCGGAGACCTGCCTTGCCCGAGGTGACATACGAAGGGAACCCTGGATGCTGACTCTGAATCAACCAGGACAATCCAACTACAGAGAGGAACGGAGAGAGAGTTAGAAACATCGATGAGAGAGAAACGTCGATCAGCTGCCTCCTGCACACCCCCTGCTGGGGATGTGCCCACAACCAAGGTACATGCCCCTGGCCGGAATTGAACCTGGGACCCTTCAGTCCGCAGGCCCACGCTCTATCCCCTGAGCCAAACCGGTTTTGGCACCAGTTCCTATTTTTAAAAAATGTACACAAGCCCGGCCGGTGTGGGTCAGTGGGTAGAGCACCAGCCTGCGAACTGAAGGGTCCCGGGTTTGATTCCCGGTCAAGGGCACAGGCCCGGGCTGTGGGCTGGATCCCCAGTGTGGGACGTGCAGGAGGCAGCCGATCCCTGATTCTCTCATTGATGTTTCCATCTCTCTCCCTCTCCCTTCCTCTCTGAAATCATTTATATATACATAAAAACCTACAACCCTACGACCAGTCGCTATGACGCACACTGATCACCAGGGGGCAGACGCTCAATGCTGGAGCTGTCCCCTGATGGTCAGTGCACTCCCACAGCCAACCTCCTGCAGTCCCTGCCCCCTGGCAGGCGGCCCCAATTGCCTCGATAGGGACTGGGTGATACTGCCCCCATGGGCCCCAATCTCTGGTCAGGCGAAAGGACCCCAACTGTGCACGAATTCGTGCACTGAGCCCCTAGTGCAGGGGTCCTCAAACTATGGCCTGCGGGCCACATGCAAATACAAATATTATATTTGTACCTGTTTTGGTTTTTTTTTTTTTTTACTTCAAAATAAGATAGGTGCAGTGTGCATAGGAATTTGTTCATAGTTTATTTTTTAAACTATAGTCCGGCCCTCCCACGGTCTGAGGGACAGTGAACTGGGCCCTGTTTAAAAAGTTTGAGGAGCCCTGCCCTAGTGTGTGTGTGTATGTATATATGTATGTTAAAAAGCTCATTACAAACTCCCTGTAATTACACACTCCGGTGCACTCGGAAAGCTCACTAGCACAAAAAGAACTCACTGCTCCTTTAAATGAAAAAAAAAAAAAAAAAAGCTCCCATGAGAGAGAGCGCGCAACTAGCCTTGGATTACTGCCCAGGTGACCCTTAAAGTGACAACACTCCCAGCAGGGAAACACACCCCAAATGGGAAGTTTGCAAACCCTCCCCTCCCCACTGGGCTCAGTGGCTGTGCGTTGACCTATGAACCAGGAGGTCACGGGTCAAGGTCCCCCCAAGCGGTTGCAGACCGGATCCCCAGTGCGGGGCGGGCAGGAGGCGGCGGATCCCTGAGTCTCTCTCATCATGGATGTTTCTCCCTCCCACCCTGAAATCAATAAAGATATATTAAAAACAACAACATAATCTTGTCCGTCGTCCTCACCCGCCCCACCCCCCATTCTTCAGGGATACGGTGCAAAAGGCCTCCCTGTCATTTGCAGGGCTCACCCACCAGGGGGAGCCGCGCAGGAGGTTGGGGGGCCCAGGCACTGGGGGGAAATGACGGCTCCGGGCGAGAGGCCCCCCCCCG